AAGATTCCTAAATAAATACAATAAAGAAAAATTTTTATTACTGACTACTTAAGTTAGAAGATGATAAAAATGATAAATGTGACCTTTTAAATCCTGAGGAAATTAACTAAGAAAAATCACATGTATTCTTATTCTAGAACAGCAAATAACAGAGGGTCCCAAGCTAAATTATCTTTGTCCTACAATGATTTATTCTGTTAGTCTCCTTTTGTTTTTATAGTATATATTTTTTCCTAATCTTTAATGCCCTGATAGCTTTTGACATAGTCATGATCTTTGTATATTAGGCTCCAGAATTTTATTTTACTCTCTTGGGTAAATTGCTAGGATTTCTGTTGTGTTTTAATAACTGGGGAAATAAAATTTCTTCCCTTTAGCCTGAGGAAATTATTAAAATACTCTTAAATTTAGAGCTACACTTTAAATGAGATCATTTTGAGTTGTAAGATAGCATACATTGTCCGCAGTTATCATTACATTGCTTGCCTTGGGGAAATTTAGTGGATTTCTGTTTTCCAGAGGTTACTTTGCTTCTTTCTGAATCTTAAACAAAAGATAGCCAATATCAATGTAGATGAACCCCAAAGGAGGAAGTAAAAAATAAGAAAACAAAGGCTTATAAATGAACCCTCAACTGACATTGATAGTTAAAAGCTGGTGGAAGAGGAATCGGTAAAGGAACATGAAAATCAACTACATTGTATACTGATAAAATAAAAAAAAAATTTTAAAAGCTGGTAGAAGACCAGAAAATAGAGGGTCACAAAGACAGACAAATTAGAATAGCACAAAAGCCAATGTCAAAAAAATTTAAGCATTAGTCAGTATTGTAGGAAAAGAATGGTACCTAACCCTAACCCTAACCCTTTTATGAATGTTCAAGAAGTACTGAGTGATAGCACAAAAAGACACAGAAGATCATACATCTTATCTTTTACTTCTTCCTTTGGGATCCATCTACATTGATACTGGCTATCTCCAGTGACATTTCCAGAATCCTATCTTTAGTCCTCATATTAACAGCACTTACAGAAAATGACCAACCAGCTGTCCCAATATCAGATCTTTCCCAAAGATGAATAGTCTTTTAAAAGTTATTTCTTATTACCATCTAATTTCTCTTTTCAAAACCTGGGGATTTTATTCGTCTTAGCTTTGCCCACATATCTGATCTGTCTTCAGAAGTAGTTTGCTTGCCGGGCCGGCCCGGTGACGCACTGCTACAGTGCGCCGCTTGGGAGCGCGGTGGCGCTCCCGCCGAGGGTTCGGATCCCACATACAGACCGGCCGCTCA